ACGAGTTACAAAATTTTTTATGACAATCGATTTTCACTTATAATTGAAAATGTTACACCGAAATATTATAAGAACTCATTTTTGATTTTTGGGAGCAATTTGGCCCTTTCTACCACAAAGTCCTATATAAATCCATTATATGATTACTTTCCTAATGTAATTTATTATAAAGATTTTTAAATTAATTTGTTTTTGGAGAGTGCGACTAATATTACTTGCCAGATACATCTAAATTGTACTTTGTAGAAATGCCTTGCAAGTTCGTTGAATCCGAAGAGTAGAAGAGCTCCGGTGGCAATTACAGTTGGAGATCAAAGAAAGGATATCGTTAGCAACAGGTTATAAGCAAGGATAGTAAACAAGAACAGTGAAAAAACAATACATACCTGATTTGGTGTTGTTTAATGCAATTAGAGTAAGAAAAAAAAAAAAGGAAAATAGGAACTATTTGTTAAAATGGTGGTTTAGGAAATTACTTAATATTTCTGCTTTGCATTTGTTCCTGGTTTCTAGTGCAATTACATTGTGCAGTTATATAAAAAATACGTATTTGTAATGGACTATTGATATGTATAAACAGAAGGTAATTCTTATAAATCCAAATTACAAAGTCTACCTAAATTTTTATATAACTAATAAATCATTGTGTAGGCGAACAGATAGATATTCATTCAGCACTTAGAGCTTTTATTACACATAACACTATATACATGCATATTGACATAGATATGTACTGTACATATGCATTTGGATTTGATAAATAGAAAATCTTACTTAAATTAGATTTTTATTTTTTTTTTTGTATGCGATCTTTTTGTTTAAAATAATTGTAATAGATTGACAGAATTTGGTTTACAACAAAGTCTAATTTTTTTTCACAAGAATTTGATTGTTCGTATAAAGAACTTGTTGAACCTTATGATTCTTCACAAAAGCTTGATAATGCTTTACAAGAATTTAATGATTTTTTACAAAGATCTGATGATTCTTTACAAGAGCTTGATGATTCTTTGAAAGAACTCAATTCCTTACAAAAATTTAATAATTATTTACAAGAACTTGGTGATTATCCTAATGATTCTGTCATCTTGTACAAAGAGCAAAGACGAACTTTTACTTATAAAATTA